AGAACTGGTGGGGAAGGGGAACGCTCACTCAGGTCATGGAGTGGATCCCACTTGGACAGAAAGGGCAGAGGGATCATGAAACACACAAAGCAGCTGCCCTCTGTGGTTGCGTGTTCCCTTCCGTAAACCCGTCCTATGCACAGGCACACTGGATTCAGCTCAGGGTATCAGTATCGGGAAGGGGAAGGGCTGTGATCCCTGCTGTGCCTCAAGCCTGTGCTTCCAGGGGGTCTAGGGATTGCGAACACGCTGCTTAAATCACCAGTCATGCCCTGGCACGTCACAGCTGTATGGTATAATGCGAGCAACTGTGAATGCCTCACGCTATCACACACGTTTATCCGTTATGCTTTTATCATGTAACATGTGCCTCTGCATGAGTAACTGAACTGAGAGAGTGAGGAGAGCTACCAAGCCTGTGGGCAAGAGAGCCATCAGCCCAGCCTCTGCTCAGTGATCCCCTCCCGTCTCTCACTGGGGGCATCTGCTCTATAGCTAAGTCCCCTAGGGCTCTGCCCAAACTTCAGGTAATTCCAGCCAGTACCGCTGTCTGAGAGCTGAAAGCAAACTAATCTCTGAGAGCTCCTGTCCCCAGGACATGGTATTGCTAGACACTGAAGAGCAGCACACTTTGGTGAGGAGCAGCAAGGACCTCGCGGTTTCCAGCCTCGGAAAAAGCTGTCATTGCTAGAAATGCGCTGCACCGCCACCTTGTTTCCTGTTATGAGCCTTCTCCCCAAAATGCAATTGCCTAAGAAATCAAGTGTCCTACGAGCAGTCCTGCATGCAGGCAGCTTGGCTTGCTGCAGAGCCCTGGTGCCCTGCTTCGGGCAGTCCTGGGTGAGAACTGAAACCCTCAGCCCTCAGGAGAATAGAGTGGATTTCTTACAGCACAACATTGGCAGAATGAACCTCACTAGCCTTCACACACCTGTATTTTGATGGCTCAGGACAAGCTTTAACATCCTCACAAATATGCTGCACGGTGGTATTTTTTTGGCATAAAGCGTACGTTGTGGGGATGAGATAAAATACTTTGAGCAGAAACATGCCCTGCCACGCAGGGACTAGCTTCTCTCTCTGTGCAGCAGGGGTGGGCTCTTGTAGAGCAAACAAAATCTTTGCTAGTCGGAAAACAGCATGGCACTGGTGAGGTGGAAGGGAAGCACAAATCCTCGCACGTCATCTGAGCCACACACTGGTAGAAAGTAACGGACAAATTCTGCCTTCCCCACTGCCATTCGCCTGCCTACCTTCAAAACGGTCTGCAGCTCCTTCCCATCCAGGCACAGATTCCCAGTCTCTCCCTTACTGCTTCTTGCTGTAGAGGGTAGTCTTTTGTGATCAGACTGCTATCAAAATTCAGGACCCTGTGCTGCCTTCCTGCCGCCTGCGCACTGCTACCCAAGCACAGTGAACGCAGCTCGAGCTGTGCTGCTCTGCAGTGTTTTCGCTGCCTGCTCCCTGCATCCACACAGCTTCTCTCCTAGCAGGGCTCCTTCGCGGGAGCCGGCACTGGCTCAGCGCAGCGAGCAGGCACCTCGCAGCTCAACGCGGACCCCCTGCCTGGCCGGCAGCCCGCCTCGCCCAGCCCGGGGGGCAGGCACACTTGCTGAGAAGCATAGTAGGGGCTGTATGTACGGCCAGGACCTACCTGACCCAAGAAGGAACCTGCATTATAGCCTCTCTCTATGGCTTTCTTACCCTTCTCACCCAGAGACCTGGCTCCCTTCAGCGCAGGGAAGGACAGAGACCCCAGCTCCCTTCATCACAGGGAAGGGTATTTCCTCTGCCTCACTGGGTGCCTGAGCATCCCTAGCACATTTTGCCTTAGGAGAGCTGCTTTCTCCAGCCCTTCTTTTCTTTACTCCTTCCTCAGACCTTGCACATGCCCATTGCCACCAAAGAAACCCCTGTGCTCCCCAACCCTCCTTTTATAGCCTCTGCAGGTCCCAACGCAGAGCATCTGGGCTCAGGCAACCCCACCCTGCTCCCGGGGCAGGGAAGCGATGTTAACTCCTTCCCGGCCAGGGCAGCGCCTGGCCCTCAAAAATGGGGCCCTTTCTTGGCATTTCCGTGCTCAGCCAGCACTGCGCCCGCCAGGCATTGCTCAGCACGCACTGTCACCTTGCCTGCAGGTCAGTGACAGGCATGTATGGGTCCTCTATGAGCCCATGTGGTCTGTGACCTCTGTTTCTAATGCTGGAGCATGCTCATGCAAAAAAACTCAAGGGACTGGCAGGGCCTTTTGCGAGGAATTTGTTGCTTGCTCATGACTGAACACATCCTGTTGTGTCCGCGCAAGGAGCATTTCAGTGGTAATAATTTGTTTTCTGTAAGCAAACTGCACCAGGTGCAAGCTCCAAGTGCCCGCAGAGCGCGACCGCTGGACGGACAGGCGGCTCCCTCCCAGCGTCCAGATCTCTGTGGCTGCCTGCGCACCGGCTGGGCGCCCAGAAAAAACTCGACCCCCCACGATCTGAGCAATGTGCCTCCAACTCTAGAGCGGGAATTTGGGCAGGGCCAGATGCGGAGGTCGTGGCAGCGCTCGAGAGCTGGCAGCCCAGGAGGCACTGCCAGGCCCTGGGCGGAGATGCCGTGGTGGCCAGGCAGAAGCAGGGACCTGGGACTGCCAGCGCTCTGGCGTCCTGGGCCGTTACGTGCCTTAACCTGGTAACGCGGCCTGTCTCCCTTATGACGACAGCTGTGCCTGGAAGCGTCTGTCCGTGAAGAATCCAGCTGTGGTCAGGACAAACCCCATTCAGCATCACACTCGCTAGTCATTATTAAACTCTGAGGTCTTGCATGACTAGTTGTAATTCTGTTACACAATGTTAAGTACAGTTTTCCTTAGCCTGTGGTGTCAGCTCTCTTAGTTCTTCACAGCCCTAGTTTAAACAGGAACTGTGTGTAATACAGAGCAGTCATAAAAGGACACAGGTAAGGTTTTCCAAATGGGCTTAGTGATTTATGAGCTAGGGTTTGAGCCGCTTTTCAGCAAGAGTTCCTCAAAGTCGCAAAGCAGCGGGTGTCTAGTGGCGCGGCGCAGCCACGCTTCACCACAGCTCTCAGGCTGCATGGGAAGTCCTGCGTGGTGCCTGCAATTACCTGCATTGCATCAAGTCGTCGGTTGTATCTGATTTACCTGGAAAGTGGATACTATGAAGCGTAGGTGAATTTGGTCGTGTTTAAACACTTCCAGGGAAAAGCAAATATTGGGTCTAGAGCATAAAAAGCTACTGCTAAGGCAACAAGTGGAAATTGCTTTGGTCACTCCCCAGTGATGAGGCGCTGAGCCTATGCAATGGTGCTTTGCAAAGCAGTGATCTGTTACATGGCTTCAAAGAAATCCCTATATTGCTAAAGCGATTCCCTTCGCCAGGAGACAAAGAATCTTTACACTGGCACAATACCTCCAAAGTGGTTAGGATACACAAGGCAGTAATTGGTCTTATAACAAGTCATTATTTTAATTTGGTGCTTTACTGCCATGTTGGTATTTCACTTGGAGTATTCAGAAAGCAGAAAGTGGGTGGATCAGAAAACCGGAAAGAAAATAACTGCCTGTCTCTCAGCACAGTGCAAGGTGCTGGAGCACAGCCTGAGCTCTCTTTAGATTTGACAGGATCCTTGAGGCCTTGGCCAAACGGCCTAAATTATCACGCAGCCCTCGCTCTTGTGTACACACTACCAGTGAGCTTACTTGATGCCTTCTGAAGCACCAGACCAACAGGAAATACGAGATCAGAAGGATATTTTCCATCATTGAAAATCCCCTTTGGTTCACAAGGCTTTTTCTGTATCTGAAATTAGCACTGATTTCAGCCATTTGCACTGCTGCATTTGCACAGTCCCAGAACGCAGGGAAGAAAGCCTTGATTTATGCCAGAAGCAGTCAGCCTTGTTTTTCAAACGGAGGCAAACTCTCTCTACACAACACAGAGTTCAGTTTAATTCCAAGTGCAGAGAAGGACTGAGAACACACGGCACGCGTTGAAGTTGGCACCACTGCAGCAGTGCAGGCTGGAGGCCTTAAAAGCCGATGCCGTGGCGAAAAAGCTCTGCTTCTGACAGTAAGCCTAAAACTCTGCGAGCTGGCACATCTTCCGGTTGAGTTAGTGGACAGGCGTGACAAAGAGGGAAACGTTTAAGAGCTCCTTTAGGATTTCACCACTTTCCTCGTGCCTGCTTGAAACAGAGCTGATCAGAGAGTAGAGGTTGCACTTTCCTCCCCTCTTACGAAGTCTGCCTGCAGTGGATCTCATCTTGTCGTGGCACACCTGCACAGGCAGCCAGTACAGTACAGTACAGAGCAGTTCCTCTTGCTCCCGGTGGATTGCTGGGATCCATGAACAAATTGCCTGTCCGAGCATGCTGGCATAATCCTCTCTCTCTGTCCCCTTCAAGAAACATCTCCAAACACATGCTGAGAGCTGAGGAGGTAGAGTAGGGGACGACCACTTTCCTTTGCAGAGCCAGATGCGAGAAGCAGTGGGGCACAGAGGACATGTGGGAGGAGGTGAACTTTAGTCTCAGTACTTTTGGCTATCTAGCTCACAGATCTCTCATTACTGCAGGCCTACCTGCAAAGCTGATCTGAGAGAAGCTGCTATGCCCTTTCCCATTGAAAATGTGACTTAAAGAGTGTTGGGAGCATTGCTTCCTTCTGCAGGGGAAGCAGATGGAAGGCAGGAGTGCTTCTACCTTCTGTTTAGGCTGGGAATTCCCAATTGCATTCATCTGCTGCCAGGAGGAGTCAAGAGCTGAAAGAAGAATTAAGGAGTTTAAACAGTTGGTTGGAGCAGGCTCAGCAGACACGGGTAGGGATAACTGTGCCCAACTCCTCCACTGAAGAGATGGCTGCTGCACTAGCAGCAACCTTCATGCAAGGGGCAGCAAAAGTCCAATGAGCCTTTCTGCCCACATCATATTT